ACAACAATAACAACAACAATAACAACAACAACAACAAATACATATTCATACACAACAACAACAATAACAACAAAAACAACAACAAAAACGACCACAAAAACAAAAGCAACAACAACAACATCACAACAACATCACAACAACAACATCACAACAACAACACAACAACAACACAACAACAACAACAACAACACCAACAACAACCTACCGTGATCAAAGCCAATGAACCATGTGGCATAGTTGCTCCCTTCCTTCCTTCCTCGGATCATCTCTGCCGGTCTACTTCCTCACTCAATCTTTCCCTCATTTTGTACATCCACGGCAGAGAATCTGTCTTCCTTACATCCCGTCAACTCACACACACGCGCACACACACAGAGAAGCTTCTAGAACGTCCCACTCATACACTCCGCCCCGACCTACAGTCGGGAGTCGCCGTGTGACGTTTGCTACACCGAGACTCGAACCCGGGCGCTGTGGTGGTGAAGGAATCCAGTCAGAACACGTGCATGAGCTGAGTCAGGCTTCTATAGACTGACCGTCAAGTCAAGATGTGTGTCTTTCACTTCCTCGACAAATGTCACAAGTTTACAATACAATATAGAGCTATCTGCTTCTTTCACACCAGTGTCCCGTGTAGTACAATATTACAATATCTGCTTCTGTCACACCAGTGTCCTGTGTAGTACAATATTACAATATCTGCTTCTGTCCCACCAGTGTCCCGTGGAGTACAATACAATATATCTGCTTCTGTCCCACCAGTGTCCCGTGGAGTGCCCTATAGGCCAGCACTGTACTTCTGATTGCACACACAAAAATATGTCATGAACATATCGCATTATGGAAACTGGCCGCACACACAAAAACATGTAATGAACGGATGACATTACGCAAACTGTCCACACACACAAAAACACATGTAATGAACGGATGACATTGTGCAAACTGCCCACACACACAAAAACACATGTAATGAACGGATGATATTATGCAAACTGCCCCCACACACAAAAACACATGTAATGAACGGATGATATTATGCAAACTGCCCACACACACGCACACATACATGATAACATATCACGGGATAACTTTGAACTGTAACAAACTGGACATTCGGCTCGGAAGAAACAAAACCCCCGATCTCTCCTTTCG